GCTGGCTGGGGAATTCTGGGAGTTGAAGTCCACCAGGCTTAAAGCGGCCAAGGTTGGAGACCCCTGCACTAAAAGGCTGTCATCTTGATTGATAGCGCCTTGGTCCAATGGGTATAAACTAAAGTTAGTTTTCTAAGAAAGCAGTCTAGTAGTTAACATACTACTCGACTCGGTGTCTACTGTGCTTTCCACCCACCCGCATTTAGGTTGGAACCTCGTTTTTGTATTGCTTATTTTCTGCCTAGTTTTACTCTGAAAGTTTATGATGCAAGTCTTGGTGTCTGTCTTGTTTTGCAGGGTGATAGGACTGAAGTCTCAGGTCTTTGACGGGTCCTTTGGTGCTTTCTGAGCGTGCTTGTTTTCTTGCAGACGTTTCATTACCCAAACTAGCTAACTAAGTCACCAGTGCTAAGTCACCAGCACTGATGATGTTACCTTGTTTGGGTAATGAAACGTCTGCAAGAAAACACGCAAACTCAGCACCCAGGACCGTTCATTTCAATCCTGATTTACAAATATTCTCCTTTATTGGCACCTCAGATCTTGTTAAAGGCAACTGAACTATAAGCAGCCGCTTTTGCCCTCCGTTTATTCTGCTTTTGGACCATGAAAATACCAGGTTCAAAAGGAGCGGTGGACTACCAAGACCCTTGATCATACACTATCCGAAGAAGGGTCGACCAAGACCAATAGACCCTCCCTTGGCGACCCTTGGGGAGGGGGAAGAGAAAAATACTGAGAGTTTGATGCATCTGAGCGTCACATAGGCTCCACTCGACTCCCAACGGTACGAGTGTGCAGTTGTGGGTACATCCTAACAGCTAGCTGATTCTCTTGGCGTTTGTCTTTTGTGGGTGATGTTGGTATTAAGTGCTAAGCAATTCTTAAGCACGTAATGTGAGAGAAGTCAGAAACTATTTAAATTGATCTAGAATAGATAAGACTGAAGGTAGACCGTATTCAAGAAGCCCTTATCCCAAAAAGGGCTTTCAAAAGGCAACTGGACTGGTTTTTTCTTCTTGAAGATGTTTCGCTTCTCATACAAGAAGCGTCTTCAGTTCGGAACTTATTGAATAAGACCCGAAACGTCTTCAAGATGAAAAACCAGTCCAGTTGCCTTTTGAAAAAAAGCATCTTTGGGACAACCATGACCTGGATGACTGAGAATTTCCATAGACACCGAGGTGACTTAAAAACTGAATGCTCCGGCGGTCTTTGAAGATTTTCCCCATATCGTTCCTCCGTAGGCCTTGCTCCTTTCCTTCAGTTCGGGGGATACGGCGTGGGACATGCTGATCAATTCAGAAGAAAGGATCACCTCCGCCTTTCGCGCTGGAAGAGCCAACCGTTCTCAAGAGGATCAAAATAATTAGAGCAGTGTTTCTAGTCGGAAGATTATAGACCCGGCACAACGGATCATACTACTCGCTAAGATCTGAAGAGGGGGACCCTCCTAATACGGCGAAAAATTTGGTCATACCAGGTCCTACTCAGCGGCTGTTAGCTCGTCGACGTTCCCCGAAATCCTGGGGAGATTTCTCTCTCTTCTTGAAGAGAACATCAGAAAGCAGACTTCTCTGGTGGCGCTATCTTCTGTCTTCCCTTCCCCCCGGCTAGAAATGAGGTCTTCCATGACCCAACATGGCGGGGAAATGATTCCCGCTGGAGTCCCAAATAGTCACTGACGAGCTTTCACGTCCGCCGGGTGGACGTTAAGGGTGAGATATTCTCTCAGGGCAGCGCTGTGTGGAAGTTTTCACCATGAGCAATATTTACATCCAAGAACCGCCAACCAACGGCAAGGTGAGAGTCCTTCCGCTCATCTAAGGAAGAGCTTTGGTATACCCAGAGCTTAATAACTGCTTCAGGTTGAGTGGGAAGCACTGAAGTGCTTCACATTGTAGCGAATGTAAGAACTTAATCTGCGACGTGACTTAATTTGAAATTAATTGTATGAAATGCCTGCTCGTTGCCCGAGTATACCTCGGATGGAACAGTGTGGCTTCAATCCAATATTGTGATACTAGACAGGTTGAATTCAGTGGGGTTCACTACAGAATATAATATAAAGAATTTAGATTGAAACATCTCCAAGTAGACACTGTTAGGATAATAGCTGTGATGGGACTTAATGCATATTAAAATGAGAGTCAAGGAATTCTGTTCACTCCAGTGGCAGAAACCGTTTTATTTCCAACAAAAGCCTGCAAAGATTAAATTATGTAATTTTATGTGACTAAATAATTAAATCTTCAAAGCATTTGAGAGAAATGGAAGTTTGAAAAAGCCACACACATCCATCATACTATTCCCTTTTTTAATTAAAAGAATGGAAAAGGAGTAATGAGAAATAGTAAGCATCAGATGAGCTCATTGACTTCTGTTACTCATCAGTGCTTTGGTCAATTTAGGCTTTTACATACTGCTTTTTACTATGATAGAGGTGAATTAAAATTATCAATCTTAGTGTTTGTTATCTGTGCCACTTGCAATATTTTCTACACATGATAACAATAGTAAGAATCACTTTGGGCTAATAGAGAAGTGCTTCCAAAGTTCAGGTGTACCTCAGGTTGCTGTATAGAATTTTAGGGTTTATTGCTAACATTTAAGTACAGATAATACTAGCATTTTAGCATGGCATCTATGCCTCCTTTTGAAATTTAGGAAACCATGCCTTTCTTTTGAGACAAAGATATTTCCTTTGATGTGCAAAACTAGCTTTTTCAGAGAAAAAATGTGACTAATCGAACAAGCAGGCTGTATTCTGAGGTCACTGATTAGTATTAGGAAACAAGCCCACAAATACAATGTATTTTATATGACAAAAATCTCATGTCTAACAAAAATCAAGCTTTTATTGCACATCAATTCTTTCTTTGTTTGATTTGTTACTTTCTGATACACCTCTCTCCTGTCAATACACACTTTTTTGCTTTGCTTGTAGAACATGTGGTTCATGTTGCTAGGGTGCAAAAAATGGCTGCTGATTTGCTTCTGGATCAAATTTAAGGCCATGTAATATCAATAGGAGATGTCATTGCTTATTTTTGTGATTGCTTGTTTTTATTCTGAATAAGCTGAAACTTTTTCATGCAACTGAAAAATGTTTTATGTCTTTGCTAAGAATGTACCAAAATGGTCTAGTCCAGGGTTTGTTCGAGTTTGCAGCAGAAATTCAAGTCTAGAAAACACACAGATGACTTATTCAGCAGGGTTATTAACTTCTTTATAAATATAATAATATGAGTAAGGTTTACAATACCATTTGTAGATTCTTTCAATGTAACATAAGCAAAAACACAAGCAGCAGCAGCTTAGAGCAGATATCAGTTTCCGTTTCAATTCTCAGCAAAGCACACAGAGCCAAACCTTACCCAGGCTGTCAGCTCCCATTGGCTGGTCTGTTGCCATGCTTATTCATTGGCTGACTTTTTTACTAAACTCTATTGCAGTTCATGAATATACTCTGATGCTCCTCCTTTCATAACTGGAATAGACATAAATTAAATTACCTTTAATATTCTTCAGATACTTGTATTTGAAGACCCACATTCACAGTTCCCTCCAAATACCTGGGAATTCCTTTTTATACCTATCCAATGCAATTGGCTTGGTTCAGCAGTGAAGCGACTTAGAATGCTTACTGCACAAGCTATTCTTACCATATTTGTGTACAAATATACTGTACACAAGAGTATCTGCCTTAGTAGCTCCTGCCTTATTGCTTCTATAGCATTTTCTATTAATTTTGCTGTTGATTGTGTTATATCACATTCTAGAGGACATGTAGTAAATGTATGCTTCAAAAGAGTAATTATGTACTGAGATTGATTAAAAAAACATTGAGACCTATAATGATAACATAATCATACATTAAATCTATTCTGTAGGTATTATTGAAAACAACAGCTGGAGATATTGATATTGAATTATGGTCAAAAGAAGCTCCCAAAGCATGTCGGAATTTTATTCAGCTTTGTATGGAAGGTAATGACCAAGAAAAATACAGTAGTTCCTAATTATTATTATTATTTATTATTATTATTATTATTATTATTATTATTATTATTATTACTATTACTATTACTATTATTATTATTTATATAAAATACAGTTCCTATGCAGTGAAAAGTACTCAATAAGTCTGCTTAATTCTCATACTACTTTTCCAAAAAGTTTTAAATAGAAATACAAGCTTTATTTGAAAGAAACAACAAATATCTGCAGTACTCCGACTTAGGGAAGTAGTCTTAGCCCTTTTGATGATCAGACTCGGAACAGCTTCTTGCATACTTGAGAGGAGCAGCAGCAGCAGCAGTTTTGCTCTGTGTGTCCTCCTTTCCTCAAAACTGTGTGGCAAGTGAGATAATCTCATCTCTCTTTCAAACTCTGTGTTCTTTACCAGAGGACTTAGTAGGGAGATGCTTTTGATTCACTCTTCCTTTCTTTGCAAAAATTCCATGCAAGTGATTGAAGATCTATTTCTTAGATGCTTTGAGAAGGTCATAGGACATGGAAAAAAATGATGGATTTGCTCTGATTTTCCCCAAGATTAAGAAAGCCACAGAAATTGTTTTTTGTCATCCAAACTTCCTCACAATTGAGCTAAGTCGTTTCCAAGTCAGTGAGGTTGCCAGAGGCATAGGGAAGAGAAGAAAATTACATTTTTCTTTAATTTCAGAAGTGAAAATTGAAAGTGAAAAAAAGAAAAGAAATTTCTTATTTGTGCTACAAAACAAATCCCAGAGCTGTACAAATAAGAGGTGATAAAATTGTACTGCAGAATTAAAGCTGTCTATATAAAACTAAGCAAAGACTAATTGGTAAATTTAGTATTTACCAATTTACTAAATCTAAGTATTTTCATGCCTTCATTAAAAAATAATTATAATTGATTATATAATTTAGAAAACTGCATAGTTTACAAAGAGTTCTTTTAACTTTTCCAATACATAGAATTTATAGAATAACAGAGTTGGGAGCGACTTGGAGGTCATCTTTTCTTTTATGTATACTGAGAGTATTTGCACCAAGACAAATTCCTTGTGTGTCCAATCACACTTGGCCAATAAAGAATTCTATTCTGTTCTATTCTATTCTAGTCCAACCTCCTGCTTAGGCAGGATATCCTACACCACTTCAGACAAATGGTTATCCAATCTTAAAAACTTCCAGTGTTGTAGCATTTACAATTTCTGGAGGCAAGTTGTTCCAATGATTAATTGGTCTAACTGTCAGGAAATTTCTCCTTAGTTCTAAGTTTCTTCTCTCCGTCATTAGTTTCTACCCATTGCTTCTTGTCCTATCCTCAGGTGCTTTGGAGAATAGCTTGACTCCCTCTTCTTTGTGGCAGCCCCTGACATATTGGAACACTGCTATCATGTCTCCCCAGTCCTTCTTTTCATCAGACATACTCAGTTCCAGCAATTGTTCTTTATATGTTTTAGCCTCTAGTCCTCTAATCATCTTTGTTGCTCTTCTCTGCACTCTTTCTAGAGTCTCAACATCTTTTTTACATCGTGGTGGCCAAACCTGGATACAGTATTCCAAGTGTATTAATTAATTTGATGTTGACATTTCCTCTGAAATAAATACACACAAATAAAAAGTAAGCCTCCCACCAGTGAAAATGTTGCAATTCCTATAAAGTGGCTTAACACTTATTTTATTTTCAGGCTATTATGACAACACCATATTTCATAGGGTTGTACCTGAATTTATAATACAAGGTGGTGATCCAACTGGTACTGGCTTAGGAGGAGAATCTATCTACGGAGCCCCTTTCAAGGTAACCTTCTGCTTTAGTTAGTTGTTTTTTAATCTGTTCTTTTTGTTACTATACAAGCACATCTCTTTTTCAATTAGTCCCCTTTTCTCCCCACCCCCTTTGATTTCAATGGTAGAAATTTGGACACAGTAGATGTGGACATATTCTTCTGAAATAGAGCTTAGGTATTGAAAATAGAGGTATATTTTTTTGGGGGGGGTATTAAAGGATGAGTATTTTCTAGGTTTTCCCAGAATATGAGTTTATTCATAAAGACTTTAAACAAGCAAATGTTATAAATGAAATGCAAGTAGCCCTCACATAATGACAGCAGTTGGGACTGATAACTCCATTGCTAAGCAATACGGTCAATTTGGCAACTCAGCTATGTTAAGCTTAGTTGCTCAGCAACTCAGCTTCACTAAGCATTATGATCAATTGAGACATCATGTGACTGCGCCAGACTTAAGATATCTGTTCCATTGCAGTCGTTAAGTAGAATATCACTGACTGAGACTTGTGCCATTGCCAACTTCTCCACTGACTTTATTTGTCAGAAGCCGTGAGCGTGCAAATGGTGATTACCTGAACCACGATATGCTGTGACTGTTGTAAATGTGTGTCTGTTACAAAGTGATCATGTGACTGTGGAGATGCTGCAATGATTGTAAGTTCAAGGACTAATTATATGTCTGCATTTTAAGTGCTGTATAAGTTTGAGCCATCATTAAACAGGGCAGTCGTAAACTGAGGACTGCCAGTTTATTTGTTCAGATGTTGGTGGGAAATATGGTATGCCTTTTGTTCGCATTTTGGATTTCATCCTATGTGCATCAGTCTAAATGAATGGGAGGCAATTGTGCACTAATTCTTCTTTGTCATAATTTACAGGATGAATTCCATTCACGGTTGCGTTTTATTCGACGAGGACTCGTTGCCATGGCAAATGCCGGGCCTCATGATAATGGCAGCCAGTTCTTTTTTACTTTGGGCCGTGCGGATGAACTTAACAACAAGCACACTATCTTTGGAAAGGTCTTGAAAACTTCTATTCAAATGATATTTACTGTCTGCAAAGATTTGTTTATATTAACATTATTTTATTTGTGAGAACTAAAACAAGTGACAGGAAAAGCTTTCAAATTGTTTGGATACGATATTTGATGAAAAGTTATGGATAAACATAGACTGCAATATAAATAACTATATGTCATGAAGGATAAAAAAGTATAAGCTAGTGAAAGAAGGAGCAGTAAAGTGATAAGTAGAAAGAATAGAAAGAAATAGGTTGCTGTTAGTTCTTTGCTGTGGTAGATCACTTCCTGGTTCAGATGGAGCAAGTTGTACCTTGTAACCTCTCCATGGTGAGAGAATTGATTGAAACTAGTGGGATCAGCCACCTTATGCATTTTGATGGATTCCAATGGACACTTTCAGATTTTACAGCTATTTGGCAAAAATTATTCCATCAATCACCTCGTCAATCTCTGGAAGTGAGGATGGCCAGATTACTCAACATGGCTACTTCAGTCTTAAGGATTAACTTGTTAACAAATGAATTCTCATGGATAGAATACCAGTAGAGATACTGAATATGACCCAACATTGATGAAAGCCCATGTTTAAACTTCTACAGTGGCAGTACAGCAAAGATTTCTCTGTTCTTACAGTGGGTGTTCAATATTTTTATTTAACATGATCTGTTCCATACTGGGGAAAAGTGACCTTGGTAATCTGGTTAGAGGCTTTAAAATATTTTATGGAACACTTTATGCATAAATTCTTTCATATTCACTGTAGTTTTGATTCGGCTTGAGTGGGATCTGGTGAATTGATTGGGGTAATATCTTGAACCATTAGCTGGTATTCACTGTTGTTGATGCCCAGGAAATTGACAAAATGCCCCTCAGTATAAATTGCACCATTTAAGGATTGAATCCATGGCCCTCCTATCTTCTAAGGAATTAACTGGGACGTTATCCATGTTCCTTTCTGTGAAGTGGGAGGGAGGAACTGCTATTAATTTGATATTTTTAATTCTGTATTTTGTGGATTTGTTACTATTGTAATCACAAGTTGTTTGGAATGGGCCAATGTAGAAATAATAGTAATAAATACATAAATTGATATTTTAAAATTAAAATGTGTTTTGAACATAATTTGTGAAAAGGTAGCTTTTAAAAAGGTCCTTCTAATTTGGCAGATCACTGGAGATACTATATATAATATGTTGCGACTTTCAGAAGTTGAAATTGGCATGGATGAAAGACCAGTCAATCCATATAAAATAACAAGCACAGAGGTAGGAATAAGATTATTTGTAATAGATCTAAATATATATTTCTCTTCTGTCAATGCTATTAAAATGAAATGAGATATTTTCTTGTACTTTGCTTCAATATTAGAAATAATTGAAAATTCAGCTTGTATATCATGAATATGTTACCATTTTTGACCCAAGTGCCGATCTTGACATCTCTTTCTGATGTATTGCACGGTTAGTGGTGCTATTCTACCGGTTCGGCCCAATTCTGGCATACCGGTAGCACCAAAGATCAGCGGAGACCGAACCGGTTCTCTCTGATGAGCTGCCGTTGGGCCCACCTGCCCGCCCAGGCTGCCATACTGACCTTTATTCCCTGCTTTTGAAGCGCAGCTGCTTTGGGCGGCACAGCAGATTGCCGCGCGTCAGCTGCTGAAGCGACAGGGAGAGTGCAGGATTGCAGGAGGTGAGTAGGAAAGCTTCTGTGCATGCACAAAGTGTGCATTTGGCACGTGCTCTAAGTGTGCATTTGGCACGTGTGCAAAGTGTATGTGCCCATGCAAAGCACGCCCACCAAGCCACGCCCACCGAACCAGTGGTAAACTACTTTGAAACTTACTACTGTGCACGGTTCTTACTTAACTATCACAATTGGGAACAGCAACTTAGTTATTAAAATAGTTGCTAAGTGAAACTTGATTGTGGTTATAATCTTATTTTAGCTTTTCTTTGCTTTACAGATCTATAAAGGTCTTCAATGCAGAGATAGGTTGTAAAGTTACTTTTTCATTACTGTCATAACTGAATAATCACTAAATAAGGCAGTCACTAAATAAGGATTACCTGTAGTTAATAAAAAGCCAGAAGCTACTGATACTACTTGCTTACACATAATCAAGGCAATTCTAGGAGATATTCACAGGTGTTTAATTTGAATTATTATTTTTCTTAAAATAAGAAAAAGCCAGGAATGAAACCCTTGGTTTGCCTAGATTTTGTATATTTGACCACAGTTGCTTGCCCAAGACATTCAAATTATAGGTTCAGAACTGAAAATTAATTTCGTATCAATTATATCAAATTATAGAAATCTCAAAAAGTTTCATGCACAGTAGTGTACATGAAAAAAGGTGTGTGAATCCTTTCGAATTTTCAATATTTCAATATTTCTGCATAAATATCTTTTAAAAGTGTGGTCTGTTCTTTACATAAGCCCTAAAACTAGATAACAAGGACCAAATTAAGCAAATGAGTCAAAAACATTATATTTGCTCATTGGTTTATTGAGGAAAATGATCCAAATTATGAATTCATATGAAAATTAGAGTCAGATGTTTTGATCAATGGGATGATAATTAGGTTTGAGTGTGGGAGGTTCTTCCTTATTAAAAGAACAGACTTCTGGATATTCACTATCGAAATGTGATTTTTACAACACAGGTATGTGGAAGTATGTCATGGCTTGAACAAAGGAGATGTCTAAGGATGTCTGAAAAATAAATTGTTGATGTTTTCAACAGGCTGGGAAAAACTATTTTCAAAGAGTATGGACTTCACTAGTCCAATATCAGGCAGATCCTGTGCAAATAGAGGCAATCAATGGCATTGTTATCCTTTCCAGGAGATCAATCAAGATCACACCAAGAACAAGGCTTGTTATACTCCAGGAGGCCTCAAAGAAGCCCAGTATAATGTCTAAGGGTATAAAGGCCTCTCTTGCATTGGTGAATGTCCATGTTCATGAAACCACCATCAGAAAAACACTGAACAACAATGGTGTGCCTGGCAGGGTTGGAAGGAGAAAGCCACTTCTATCCAAAAGAACATTGTTCCCCATCTTCGGTTTGCAAGAGACCGCCTAGATAAGTCGAAGACTGTTAGAACAACATTCTATGGACAGATGAGATCAAAGTAGACTAGTAATTGAATGAAAAGCTTTATGTTTGTTGAAAAACAAACACTGCATTCGAGCATAACAGCCTTATCCAAGCTGTGAAACATGGTGTTAGGATCTTGGTTTGGTCCTGCTTTGCTATTTCAGGACCAGGAGTGCTTGCCATTATTGATGGAACTATACATTCTGAATTATATCAGCAAATTCAGGGTAAACCGTATGTCTGTGAAAACTTGAAGATCAAGAGAAGTGGATCATACAGCAAGTCAATGATCCAAAACACACAAGTTTTATAAACAAAGAATGATTAAAGCAGAAAAATGTTTTGGAATGTCTAAGACCTTCCCATAATCCTATAGAAATGTGGAAGGATCTGAAGTAGACATTTCATGCACAGAAGCTCACCAACATCCCAAAGTTGAATCTCTTCTATAGAGAGGAATGAACTAAAACTCCTCCAAGCAAATGTATTTGACTGATCAACAGTTATAGGAAACATTTAGTTGAAATTATTGCTGTCCAAGAAGATCACATTAGTTACTGAATCCAAAGGTTCATATACTGTATTTTGGCAAATACAAATTTGTGGCTATGATATATTTTCCTCAATAAACATATTAATAGGTATAATGATTTTGGCTCATTTGTTTAATTGGTACTCTTTATCTGGTTTTAGGACCTGTGTGAAGAACATATCACCATTTAGGTCATGGAACTTTTCTGTTAAGTTTTCATATTTCTTAACTGATGGATATTTCAAACATTTGTTTGATTGATTTCCAATAAAAACTGGCATATAACTAATTTGCCCATTGTTAGATAATGCTGTTACCTAAAGTATATAATCTTCAACTAAGCTAGATTTAGTAAGTTATGTTCAGGAAGCCTAATTATGCTTCCTCACCATTTCTAGATTGCAGTGTTTGGGTGCTTATGAAATATTATTTTTCAAAATAGAAGGTCTTAAAAGATTAATAAAACATTTGTTTTAGGTTTTATTTAATCCTTTTGATGATATAATTCCAAGGATGAGTAAAAAGCTGAAGAATGAGAAACCAGTGGAAGAAGTTGAGAAGACAAAATCAAAAGGCACAAAGTAAGAATAGTTTATTTATTTATTTCCTTCAAACCCAGTCATAGTTTACTACATACAGATTAGGATTTGATTCATGCCTTGACACTGAATTATATTCAAATAATAGTTGTGTAAAAGATAATGAACAGAATCCAGTTGTATGCTTTCTTGAGTGGAACATTGCACCCTGAGAAGTAAGTCTTATGCTGTAGTCTCTTATACATCGTCAAACTGTGTTCTAAGGAAGATTTTAAGGACACTTGACAAAGTACAGCAAGAAGAAAATCCTATTGCAGAGGTTGGCTGGGATTATGTGAGATTTCAACAGGAAAATTAAACTTTTGAAGTGACAATAATATTCAAAAGAATTCTGGATTTTTATGTGCTCTACTGTTAAATGAAGGTACCTCTTTTTTCTATTTGAAGAAATTTTAGCCTGCTTTCATTTGGAGAAGAAGCTGAGGAGGAAGAAGTAGAAGTCAACAAAGTTAGTCAGGTATAATTTCAAGCTAACTACCTATATACTATGAATCTGTTTAATTTTCAACATTGTGAAATTAATGTCCAGATTTGCTTATTAAAGTTTTATTAGTAAATTGAATATACGCTGAGGTCTCAGACTATGGATTTAGATAAAATAATGATAAATAAAAGTAATAATATATCTTGATAGTATATTAGTAAGTCTTACTAGTAGAAATTATAAAGTTCTAGACTTGAAGATTACCTATTCTTACCCTAAAACATAGTAAATTGTGCTTAATAGCAATTATTTCTCTGAAAGTTTGTAGATACGCATCTTCAGCCAAAAGTAAAAAGATGAGAAGGTTTGTAGGGAGACTTGTATTGTTTGTGATGAATGCATTTGCCCTCTCTTAATGTCTTACCAGAGCTAGGGTTTCTTCTTGGACTTAGCATTGTTCTGAGAAATTTAGGTGCTACTGTTGCCAGGAGTGCTTTTTATCAATCTTGGCAGTCAGTTCAACTATTGAATGTATAGAGAGAAGGATTGAGAAGGATGGTTTTTGGATTAGTTGCCTTTAAGTTGCCTTTTGTTGGGCTGTCTAGCAAATCGAATTGGTATAGGACAGTGATAGCTAACCTTTTCCGGATGGAGTGCCAATGCGTGTGTGTGCCTGAACGCCAAAATGCAATGCATGTGCCACCTGCCCGCACACCTCCTTCCCCCCACGCATGCGCAGCAAATACCCGACAACCAGCTGGCCGGCGGGGGTGCTCGCATATGTGCAGTGGAGTTGAACTAGGGCAACAGCTTGCATGCCCACAGAGAGAGTGTTATGTGCCACCTGTGGCATGCGTACCATAGGTTCATCATCATCGGTATATGATATACAGGTAACTGCAGGCTATTAAAAGAGATAAAATAATTGGTTCCTGCTTACTTTCAATACACAATTGAAAGTAAATAAAGAAATTGAAAGTTCTGATTACAATTTTACGCACAAAATAATCTGGCACCTGCTATCCTGAAGGTTATTTTTCTTACGTAAAACTCTCAATATATCTATGTGCAATATAAGATAAATTATTTGATTATTTCCTGCTTCTCTGAAATCCAGGGAGTTTCAAAGGCCAATTTGATAATAGAAACAACACCAAGGTTAGATCTTCCTGCAGAATAAACCCATTTCTCCTTTGTAACAAATATAGGTGGCAGATCTTCATAGTTTTATTTGAATGAACATCTGCAATCAACACAATATATATGACAGTAGTTTTAATAATTAGGATTTTGTATGAGTAGCAATGCTCTGTTTTTTTTCATAGAGAAATTTGTGATACAAAAGTGAAGACATTTTCTCATAAACCCATCATTCCATTCTTTTAAAAAAATTTAGAGCATGAAAGGAAAAAGCAAAAGTAGTCATGATTTACTGAAAGATGATCCACATTTGAGTTCTGTTCCTGCCATTGACAGGTAAATAAACTGTGGCTAATTCAAAAATAATTCTGTTTGTTTAAAAGTGTAGAATTTATATTGTGATAAATATGTGAAATTTGGCCTACTTGTTACTGCATTATAAACCAACCTTTTTTCCACACATTTTAGTACTGCAGCTTTCAGAATTCCCAGCTAGCATGGCCAGTAGCCATGTCTGAATTTCTCTTCACTTAGGGAGGGCTAGGGTTAAGATTAGGAAGGACTGCCATACATTATTAGGCAATTGCCTATTTACCAAACGTTTATTGTGGATATCATGCAGCTTTGATTGCAACTCTTGAGTTAAGGCAGCTCCTTTAAACATATATGATATTTATTTATGAAATAGTAATCAGATTGCCTTTGTTTCTACTGGAAAAAAAATTAATGAGTTGGGCTAAAGGGTACACTAAGTAAAAACCTGTACCTAAACCAAAAAATTCATTTAGATTCATTTTACTTTAGAACATGTATTATGAAACAATTACTTACATGTTGCATTTTCTTTCAGTGACAAAGGAAATGAAAGTGATAATTCAGATCAGGTAAGACCTTTACATTTGCTACAATATTTATGGGGCTAATGTCTGTTACCATTACACATCTGGTTACTGTCTCAGCTGCTGCTGAAACTTTAGTAGTATTTAATTGTCCTCTTAACAAAAAGGTTTCAGTCAAGTAAGTTGGGTAGGAAATTTTTTCCTAGCTCATTAGTTCAGTTATACATTTCAGAGATTTGTATGCTGCCAGTTCATCTTAGATATGAGGTGGCTTTTGTGAGTAAACAATAAAGCATACACTATCATCACATATATAGCCCATCTTTTCAATCCCAGGCCCAACTAGCAGCTGTCACTCCCATCACCTCCTGTTTTGAAAGGTTTTTGGAATAGCACCATCTAAATGCTCTTCTGAAATTACTATACTGAGGGGATCTGATTTTGGGGGGTAAGTTGTTCCAAAGGCATTCAACAGAGAAGTCTTGTTCATGGATCCCATGTTCTTCATATCTTGAATGCAGAAAAGTTTCTGCACCATGTCCTTCTCACCAGTGTGTACTGGCTAATTAGATTCTGCGCGGAACAAATATAGTAGCCTCTGAGGTAATGAAAACCTGAGTTTAAAGAGCTTTATAAGTAATAATTGTCACCTTGAATTGTACCCAGAAGCCTCCTGGATTTGGAATCAGAAGGCTGTTGCATAGTAGTACTTCTGTCTTGTTTAGATTTGTCATAAGTCTGTTGTATCCCGTCCTTCATAGCCTGTAGGCACTGGTTCCTGGTTTCCAGCGCAGGGTTACATTCTGAAGTTGTTTAATTTTATCTAGTCCCTCACTGATTTGCACTGAGATAATCTTTATCCAGGATATTTTGTGATTGACTATCTGAATAACATTTTCCCCCCAGAAGAAGATCAGATAAGGAAAATGGTTCTCCAAAATAACTGGGTCAAAGGATGAATGAACTCTTGGTGGGCCATCATTACCCATTTAGAGCCAATAATATACCATAACTCTTTCTTGTAAAAGAGCCATTCAGCATCTTAGTTGGGGGACACTCAAATGCAGATTGCAGGAGAAGGAGCTGAAAAATGAGAGACATTTTCTGATGCAGAATAGCCCAGATGTTGATAACGATACCAATTTTGTGACTGAGAGCCAGCTTTGATAATTCAACCAAGCAAGTTATGTCAACCATGTGATTTCCTTGACTCCAATGGTCTCACTTGATGGAGGAATATACTTTTGATTTTCAGCAGAGGTTGAAAGCTGATAGCATGTAAAGGCTATATTTATTTTTGGTATGCATCATTGTTCCTAATCAACTGTCCTTGGATTGGAGAGCTGAACTACCTTGTGTAAAAGCTTCAGTATCATTCTGGTAGTAGTTGTCCTCTAAGGTAACCCATTTCATTTCCTGTCATGGAATGTAAGATTGATGTTAGCCTTCCAAGATAGATAGACAGGAAACAGGACCAGCTGGATTAATTCTACTTTATTGTAAACTTATATTAACAGAATCTTGCAAGTCGGATAGTACTAATCTCCCACCACCTCTTTTACAGCCTTATAAGTTGGGGAAGTTCCTTTGTAACTTACTTTCTCAGTAGTTGTGCAGCTGTGGGCTATGTCCTCTTATCTGATCATTCCTTAGGCACCACTGCTTCCACCTCTCCTCCCATGTGAGATCATTCCCACAAAGCGTTACAGTGCTTCCACTTAGACATTGCTGTTTGAGACTAGATGCCTTCCAGGATCAGGAATTTTAAGTTGCCAACCAAAAATGTTTTTATTTTACATTTGGAGATAAAATATATTTGCATCACTTGTTTTTGCACTGAATAATGTTTGGTATTAAATTTTTAAATGTCCTTGGTGGTAAATTCATGTATACTTTACAGAGGTGATAAGTATTTAAGGATATAAATAACATTTAGATTTGTTAACTTCTAGTAAAAAATATGGAATACTTTATTTTGGCTTCTGTATGGATCTCAGCGAGCAAATTCACTTGGCTTCCTTGCCGTTTGAGAACCCACAAGCAAAGAAACATAATTTCTTTTGGAAATGATAGCTCTTTGGATACATGCATCTTTTGGAGCTGAGAGTGTTGCAGTTTTTACTTGCCCACAGCGTAATAACTGTGCAGGAAAGCTATGCTGTGGCATAGTTTTTAGAGATTGCTTGTGACAGTGACACACAATACCTTGAACATTTTTATCAATGGTGCCAAAAACATATTTCATTTAGGTACAAACCTAATTATTTGAGAGGAAAAAAGCTTTAAAAGGGTTCCCCATTTTTATATTTTGGGGACTTTCATATCTCTATAAATAACTTACTCTTTTAGAAATATGCTTTTCTAACACAGTGGTCACGAGAAATAATATTTTTTGAATTGAAACTGAGCATAAACTAAAGTCATATAAACTAAAATGTATGAATGTCTTAACAACCTGCCCAGGATGAAGAGGAGGGATATTGTGATGAAGATGATGGTCTTGATAATGAAGAAAAGAATCAGATGAGAAAACGAGTTGTGGAGAAGTTAAAGAAAAATACTGATATACCTGTTAAAAAAATAACAGAAGGAGAGCAAAAGCAGAAGAGTAGCCGTAGGTGAGTAATGCATATCTTTTTTTTTTTTTTAAAAAAAAACTTTTTAAAAAAAATTTAGACAAACACACACACACAACATAAAAACATCAAGCCATCTTCCACTTACGTCCATACAGTGTGTCGGTTGGTTGCAAATTGTTTTGTGCATCCACTCCATAGTCCTCACTTACAATTACTTGTATATATTCTCATATTATCAATCAAATATTCCTAAATACATTATTATCATTGTTACTCAATCATTTGACTATACTATATTCATTCATATTATGCAAGATACTCCATATTTTTAAATTGATTTATCTTATAGTAATTCATATTATCATCCTAAATCCATCCCATAAAATACGATAATACATCTTTATATATTCTATATAGTTCTATTCTAAAGTTCTACATATTTCATTACCATATTTTATTTTCTAACCATTGATAAAACAAATCCCAAATCTTATAAAATTGTTTTATCTTCTTGTTCTCTAATTTCAAATGTCAATTTACTCATTTCAGCACATTCTATTATTTTCTTGATAAGTTCCTCTCCTGCGTTGGTATTTTCTCATTTTTCCAATTTTTGGCAAATACAATCCTAGCCGCTGTTAATACATTTACAATCAATTCCCTACTATATATTTCAGGTAAAATTCCCAATAAAAATATCTCTGGTTTCAAGTCTATGTGTTTTTTTGTCATTTTTTCCAACCATGTGTGGATTTTAGTCCAATATCTTTGAGCATCCGCACACGTCCACCACATATGGTAATATGAACCAGGTGTCTGATGACATTTTCAACATTTCAACATTTTTCAGATTTGTTCTTGAACATTCTTGCTATTCTTGTTGGGGGTAAGTGCCACCTGTAAAACATTTTATGCAAGTTTTCTTTATATGCTGTTCACATTGTCATTTTATAATTTTGAGACCACAATTTTTGCCATTTCTCTAAGTCAATCCCATATCCAAAATTTTCCCCCCAAGCAATCATTGTTTCTTTAACTTGTTCTTCTAGCTTAATTTCTAATAAATATCCATACAGTTTTTTAATCACCTTATCATCAGTACCTGTCAAAATCTTATTTAAGTCAGTCAGTTTATCATAAAAACCTTCTGTTTTGGAATCTTTATCATATCTAGAGCGTATTTGCGCATATGAAAACCAATTCATCTTTATACCTGGTTCTTCTAGTTTTTGCATAGATTTAAGTTCACCCTTTTCATTCAATATTTCACCATATCTAACTGTTTGTTCCTTTTTATATGTTATAGGATAAGAAAATGTTTCAGTAGTTGATAGCCAGACTGGAATTTTCAAATAGCATTGCCTTTTAGTCTTCTCCCAGTTTAACAACAAAGCCTCACGTATATAATGTCTTCTAAAATACCCCTGTACTTTAGTTCCTTGTACCATAAGAAGGCGTGCCAACCTAGCAACAAATCATGTCCTTCTAATGTCAACAATCTAGTGTTTCTTAATGTTATCCATTCAGATTATACACATCAGATTTGTAGCTTGATAGTATAACTCCCAATTAGGTAGACCAAATCTTCCTCTTAACAGTTTTAATTTTATTCTTGCTTTCTTTCCCTGCCATATATACTTCAGCACTATTTCATTTAAATCTTCAAAATAGTCTTTCCCTAACCTCATTGGAATTGTTTGAAACAGATATAAACTTCTAGGTAATATATTCATATTATTAATGATAATTGTAAATTTTCCCATTTCGCCAAGTCTGTCGCAATCTGTTGTTTGAGTTTAATATAGTTATTCTCTTTAAGTGTGCTACACCTCGCTGTCAAATGCATCCCCAAGTACTTAGCCTTATTTGTGACCTGGATTTTCAAAACATCTGCCAATTCTTCCTTTTGTCTTAATAACATATTCTTTGTCAAAATCTTCATTTTATGTTTATTTATTTTCAAACCAGCTACTTTTCCATATGCCTCTATATTTTCTATCAGTTTAAATGCTGTTACAGTCTACTCAATAATTGTGAGACATGGGAAATGGAAAAAACAATTTCAAGATAAAATCAAAACACTTGTGAATGGCATGTTATCAAGAGATGGCTTTGGAAAAGCCGATTCAATTTTTTATTAATTTCAGTGAATCAAAGCATGTGGCAAAAGAAAGTATGAATAGAACTTCGGTGGGAGATTCTGCTGAAATTTTGTCAAATGTCTGAGAGCTATCAAAAGTTTTAAAGTTAAACAATCAAAGACAATTTTGAAAGTTAAATACATTATTGGAGTAAGACTTCATATGTGAAATAATATTGCTTTTATAGTAATTTTGATATAATTTTTATGTTCATTTGCCAAAATTGCTCATTTAGTGCTATACATATGAGTCTTGTTTGTTGAGAATTGGGATTCTAGTGAGACAGCAAAACTTGCTTTTTACCTAATAGAAGAGAATACCACAATAAATCATAAATATCTGGCCATTTAATTTTATATACACTGTTCTGCAAAGAAACAGACAGAATGGCTTTTTCCCCAGGAGGATGCTTTGGTTGCATTCTAGATTGAAGAGATTGAACTTTCATGACGTTGCATTGGACTTTGATTAATCTTTACAAAATAAATACTTTCTTTTTAAGATCCTGTTTCAAATCTACCTCTTGGTATCCCTCTTATATGTGATGTCATAGAATTATAGCATTGGAAGGGACCTTGAAGATCTTCTGGTCCAAACCCTTGCCAAAGGCAGAATTCCTCAACTCCATCTTGGATAAATCTTTGGTTGCCCAGTCTTTTCTCCTCAATTAAGGGATCACATGTTCAAAAAGAACGTGGCAAAGATCATTTTGTTTCCTGTCACACACATTTCTTTTTAATTGTAGAAACCTAAGGTAAAATAGATTTTTCCAATCATAAAACAAATGTTGTAGATATTCATAAAATATATTTTAAATGTTGTGATTGTGAAAAAAATATTAGAACATGTAATTAGAATCTTCCTTTTTAAGTAATCACCTATCAAAGCTTTTAGTTGGATTGTTGACCTGTAGATGGAGCTCACGTGTCGTATATTTATGGACAGCCACTGGCTTCATTTTTTAAAATTTGGTTTAATTTAATTTAAATTAATTTTACTGATTGTTGATATAACGATCTCAACTTTAAGGATATAACAGTAGAGGCGTGCTAATTATGAGCCATAGATGGCAAATAAAGAATAAATCTTTTTTATAGTATAGAAACTGTAAAGATATAGTCTTTCTACAGAGAAAAATAAAATTCAGAAAACATATGAACATTAATTATGGCATAACTAAACTGTAATGATTAAAACTAATTAATAAGCTTTAGTTGATAGTAGATGATAATTAGTTTTTAATTAAACCGAGGCAGCAGATTATTTAGAAGCTATTTTCATTTGCATGTCTCAGTAAAAGAAGCCTTTGAATAATTATTGTTACTTCTTTCTTCAGTATTTCCAAAAGTCACGTTTTGAAATAAATTATTTAAAAATCGTAATTTGTATTTCTAGAACTTGATTGAAAATAGTAGGGAAAAATCCACTGTAATAGTTTTACTTCATTTCCTCAAGATGACAAGCAGTAACTTGCTTTCCAGTAATGCCTCTCCGTAATGGCATAAATTTTTGGTCCTTTCCACAAGAGAAGCAGTGAATAACAGTGTTTTGTCTCATCTCACAGAATCCATCATACCAAATTCAGTGGAAGTTGATTTTTTTAGATCAATTTAATTTGAAATGGCAGTCTTATGCACCAGCCATTCTTCTGGTAACAGAGTCGATATGCTAACATGTCTTGTGTAAATCAGTATATTCTTTTATCTCTTCTCACTGCCCATTTTAGGGAGAAAAATGTTTGCTTTCCTTTTTTATATATTATGCATCATTTTATTTGTCTCGTTCATGTTTTTCTTTATTTGCTATTTTGTAAACTAAAAAGACCTAATGTTTATAGCCATTACCCACATGACTTTGATCACATGTGCTGCTCCTTTCTGTACCTTTTTCATTTGTGGTATTCTTGTTGAGATTATTTGAACTATGGAAATTTAAGCAAAAGATTTCTCCCTTACAAAATCGTTACAAAAACAATTAAGGGAAAGCCTCTAGCAAAAATCTTCCTATAGCAAAGTTCACTATTTTTGCTTGAACTTTTTACGTTTTGCAACATAGTATAAATCCAACTTTCTAACTATATATTAAAACAAAAAACAATAGGTAATTTATTTGTTATATTTCATGTTTTCAAATTAAAATCCTTCCACAGCAGTTTACAGCCAAATTTAAACACTATAAAATAACAAGCTATTTCAAAATGTTAAAGATTTAAGTATGTCAAGATAGAATATAAAATCAGCATACTTTTGATGAAACGATTTTGTAAGGGAGAAATCTTTTGCTTAAATTTCCATAGTTCAAATAATGTTGGATCCATCCTTTGTTTTGAATAATCAATATCCCTCTCTGTGTTTTAAAGATTAGAGGAAAAGTTCATTTTTTTAATTTGATGTAATTAGATTTTGGGCAAAAATGTAGACCAAAAGCAGTTCTTTCCATGTCATACCCCTTCAACATTTAACAATTCTCATGAGATGCTAAAATATAATATTCTAAAATATGAATTTATTTATTTATTTATTCATTCATTCATTCATTTATTTATGTATCAAATGTAATTGTTTATCAAATTTCTACACTGAGATTCTCATCCTAAAGTCAATAATTTCTTTAGGTGGAATAAGCAAAAGCATTATATTTGCACTTATGTTATTTTAAGTCTTGTCTCATAATTCTAGGCCATGCAAGATTTAACATGTAAAATATCATTTTTTTCCACATTAATGCCTGTCCAAATCACCCAAGGGCTCGATTGACTCTACATCAAATGCTTTGGTTGTGGCATAGATATTCTGAGACAATCTACTTGATTAGGAGTTCTAGTTTAAGATAGTCTTCTTTGTCTTCTTCATCTCAATATCTTCATTTGCTTGGAAATGAAATGGAAATGATTTTCCA